ACACACCTGAAATATGCAAAAATTACACAGCAAGAAAACAAGCTGATTCAGCTAAGGCAGTGGTTCTCAACTTGTGGGTCGGGATCCCTTTGGGGGTCGAACAACCCTTTCATAGGGGTCGCCTAAGACCATCGGAAAACACGTATGTTCAGTGGTCTTAGGAACCAAGACACCAATTTTATGGTTGGGGGTCACCACAACATGAGAAACTGTATTAAAGGGTCGCAGCATTGGGAAGGTTGAGAACCACTGCCTTAGCTGAATCAGCTTGTTTTCTTGCTGTGTAATTTTTGCATATTTCAGGTGTGTGTATCAATTTAAATGCTTTCAAAAACTAGATATTTTATACTAGGGTAGGTATTGATACAATCTTAGGTAGCAGTAGATACTGTGTGTGTGTGTGAACTCCTTGTGTTGTCAGGAAGTGCATTGAGCCAGTAAACACTCCGCTCCATCCATCTATTCTGAATTAAGGGATTACAGTTTCATAAAAAGGGAGTTAAGTAGGTATTGATAAATGCAATTTCCTTGCTACAAAACCAAGATGTCAAATGATTGTTTTCATTATGTTGGGATTTGATCAGTGATGTATTCAAAAGGTTTGTCTAGATCTTTCCATGGGAATTTCTCTGAACTTAGTGTGCAAGAAGAGGTGGACTGCCAGATTTCCCTTTTGCCTGTGTCCAAATTAAGATACCTTTGGATCGTTCGTGTTTATGGAAATAAAATTGCTAGTTTCGTACTTTCAAAATGTAAATCGTGTTCATCCCCAGTTCTGTTTTTTACTCAGGAGATTGAAGTGGGTGGTGGTAGAAAAGCAATCATCATTTTCGTACCAGTTCCCCAGCTGAAATCGTTTCAGAAGATTCAGGTCCGGCTAGTTCGTGAGCTGGAGAAAAAATTCAGTGGAAAACATGTGGTTTTCATTGCCCAGGTAAGTGTTTGTCATAAATATTTGAACCTTTGTATTTCACAAAGTGAAGTTTGTGAAGATGATCGGTTTACTTATGAAATTTGTAGTCTACAGTATACGATTATTCAGTGCTGGGTCTTACTTCCCAGTTACTTGCGCCTCGTACTGTACTGAGAGCCTGATTTAGGCTCCCCAAAAGCTAATTTGCTGTAAAAATTGCCTGTCTATACTATATGAGAAACACACTTACAGATATGCTGTTACCTTATTTTAACAGAGGAGAATTTTACCCAAGCCAACAAGAAAAAGCCGCACAAAAAACAAGCAGAAGCGTCCCAGGAGGTATTGTTATCTTCTGAAAAGAAATACAAATATTTTGATACAACTATGTTCAAATCCTTCCATGCTGTTTATAAGTTAACAATGCTTGGAAGTTTGAGACATTTAAAGGGCAAAAGTATGATGTTTATTTGGTCTCAGTATGAATGCTCTGTAACAGATTATAGCACATGGTTTGCATTCAGGGAAATGTTGGGTCTAATCTATAATAATTGGGCAATAAATTACCAAATAATGATAAAGGCATCTGCCTAAGTCAATAGAAATCTGGTAAAATTTGGAGCAAATAATGGATTGCAGGTATTTCTCAACTTCCTAGCAGTTTTGGATCCTGGGCAACTACGTCACATTTANTCTTCAAGTTGCCAAGGTTGAGAAACACTGCCTTAACCACATCACTGCTTTGTATAGTACTTCTATATTCATTGATATTGTAGATTACAATTTGCTTTTCCTTAACTTTCGGCAGGTCCATTTTTTATTATGTGCTAAGGGTGTTTTGTTTTGTTTTTGATTGTAGAAAGGCCATGTTCAGTTCGAGCGCAAAGATTGTGAAGCCCAATGGCGAAAAGCCAGATGAATTTGAATCTGGCATCTCCCAGGTATGTGGCCTTTTTGTTGAAAATTCTAGGCTGAAAGAAATTAACGCAGTTCTAAAACATGACTAATGAGCTAGTTAATATTTATTTGGAGTTAAATAAATAAATAAACTCCAAACTCCAAAAATAATATTAAGGATTTGTAGTAATTATTTTATGATTTGTGTAGCCTAAATGAACAAGCAGTTGTACAATTTAGTAACGTTTGTGTGGTTGAACTATCTTTAATAGAAATGGAAGTTGCCTTATGTATTTCAGTGTATTTAAGAGGAACCTGAGCTAATAGCTTCTAGACATTTCAGGTGAATGTGTAGTTCATCTAAGTATTAATGAAAAGTAAAGTATCCAAAGCAGAAAGGCAAGTTATAAATCTAATAATAATCTTCTCTTAAGGCCCTCTTGGAGTTGGAGATGAATTCTGACTTAAAGGCCCAGCTGAGAGAACTGAACATTACAGCAGCAAAGGTAATATGTAAGCTTTGGTTGGGATTCTATGTTTTGTATGCATGGGCCACAAAGGTTCCAGATGGTTGAGGAGGATACAGGACAACAGTAATCTAGTATATCCAAATATAATGCCTAATGTTTGATTTTATAGTTCCTCCATTCATACCGTTGATTTACTTTTATCATTGAAACCTGGAAATTGCTGCAGCCTTGAATAAACTCCAGTGCAGGTAGTCCTCAAATTACGACCACAATTGAGCCTAAACTTTATGTTGCTAAGTGAGTTTTACTCCATTTTCTTGTCACATTTGTGAAGTGAATCACTATTAAATTAATAACACAGTTAAGTGAATCTGGCTTTCCCATTGACTTTGCTTGTCAGAAGGTTGCAAAAAGGTGATCACATGATCCCGGGACTCTGCAGCCACCATAAATGTGAGTCAGTTGTCAAGCATTCAAATGTAAATCCATGTAACCATGGAAATGCTGCAAAGATCATGTGTGAAAAATGGTCATAAGTCACTTTTTTCAGTGCTGTTATAACTTTGAACAGTCAGCGAATGAATTGTTGTAAATCGAGGACTACCTCTACAGGCATTCTGTGAAGTAATTCTCACATGAGATGAGCCTAATGGAATATAGAGTTTTGTATTTTAAAAAAAAGTCGTGTGAAAATCAGAAATCTTAGCTCAGTGGTTCTCAACCTGTGGGTCGGGACCCCTTTGGGACAGGGGTCGCCTAAGACCATCGGAAAACACGTATGTTCAGTGGTCTTAGGAACCA